GGGTGGGTGAATAGGGGTATACAAATCCGCCGATCCGCCGAAATTTGAAGCAAAATCCGCCGTCCAACAATGGTCTTGTCTAAATTTGGATCCTCTAAAAGCTTTACTATGAAGTCTCAATCCAGGATCCGAACTAAATTGCAAGGAAAATTCACAATCCGAGCCAAAATATTAGATAAATCCGCAATCCGCTGTATTAATAAGATCCGCACATCCGTGTAAAATATTAATTCGCCAAATCCGAAATCCGAACAATTTTTCTACGGAATCGGACGATCCGAAAACCTATTGACCCCCCTCCCCGTGTATATAATCTTCCGCTCGAAATTTCCATCTGCAGAAATACTTCAACTGTTTATCCTATGTAGAAGTAACCCCAGGTTAACTTAATATTCCTGGGGACCGTTCATTTTTTATCAGGAGGGGGGGGGGGGGCTGGTGGTTTTGCGTCCTTTCATTGATAATTTCGTCTTGACCTCCAACAGATGCATGAAAATTTCCAGTGGCCCCCTTTCTACTCCAAGTTTTTTCCCATGATCCCCCCTACATGCATGACCTCCGAAAGGTTTCTAATGTTACTTTTGCAACGTTTCAGGCTGATAATAAATGCATTAATGCCTACCGAATTACTTTAGTAATTATTTTGGTAATTGTAGGCATTTTTGTAATTATTATTAGCATGAAGAACTGCAGTAAAACTGCCCGAAATGTTGGAAAAGTAATATTAGAAATCATGACATTTAATAGGAATTTTACATATTTGTTATAAAGATGAGGTTTTGTCCTGTTTAATATAAGTGAAATGACAATTTTGTGCATTTTTGCCAAAAGAAACAAAAGAAAACTGATTTGCACTGCCTTACAGTCAATCCGGATGTTCTGTTCTCCTGAGTATTGCAACATTGCAATCAATCTTGCAATGTTGATTCTGACTCGTCCCCAGTCGTCTCTACAGAGCCCCGTTCGCGCTTAAGCGCTTAGGAGTAACACAGAGACGACTGGGGACGAGTCAAATGTTGATTAGTGGGAAATGGATGATTCCAGCAAAAGACGAAATTTTGATCTAGAAAAGAAGAACGAAATCCATTACCATAGCTGGAAAGAGCATCTTCAAATGAGTACCATTGCAAAGTTTGGTTGCGAAATGTTGTAAAATGAGGAAAATATAGCTCTTTGAAGTTCACAAATTTTGTATATATTTGCATTACGCGCGGGAAAAATAACCATTTTTGAGCCGAAAGCTAAGTGGTTATTTTTGCCGCGCGTAATACAAATATATACAAAATGTGCGAACTTCACAGGGCTATATTTTCTTCATTTTACAACATTTAGCAACAAATCTTTGCAGTTACTCATTCTAAGACGCTCTTTCCAGCTGTGGTGTTGGATTTCGTTCTTTTTGAATTGATCAAAATTTAGTCAATAGCTGGAATCACGCATTGCTCCGAGCAAATTACAACTGTCAATTTCTCAAGTTACTATCACGAAAAATAATAAATCCAAAACGAAGTAGGCCTACGAGGACTAATATTATTCCTATCATTTGACAAATTAAAAGTATTATTCAAGAAATATGCCCATTTTAATCAACGTGATACAAAAATACTAAACTAGGAGCTAGTTACTATCGCAAGGAAAGTGCTGCCTTTTTGCCACATCAACTGAATGCAATTTATACTTCTAGACAATTCTCTAAAGGGAGGTTTATTTTTAACCCAATGGCCTCATTTCTATGTTTCATCACTGGTAGCATGGCAAGCCTGCATATGAAGGTTATATCCCCCATGGCTTTCTATGGCTATGTTTCCTGCACAAATTTGTTTCTCGTTCATCATTTAAGACCAATCACATGAGTATCTTCTTAACTCTTCAGAATTTGTTTAGAGTCAATGTGAGTAAAATACTTCTTCTATTCAGGCGCTTTCATGTAGAAAGTTTCGTTTGAATACGGCACAGAGTAGAAATATTTATTTTGAATTTTTCAAAATATCGGGTTTTTACTCGCACGCACGCGCCAGGTGTATGCTTGGCCATATATAGCCCGATGCACGTGTAAACCGGGAGTACTTTGACTTTTAGAATTGATTTCCAGTTTTTCCAAACCCCTAGGACCAGGATGTAAACAGCGCTTTGTTTTGAGAACGTTTCACGGGCCGCGCTAAAAATATAAATACTATTTATTTATTTCTGTAAGCACCGAAATACAAGGTGAAAATCTGAAGACACAAGCTTGAAAATAACACTCAAATAATGTTTTGGATTCCGGTTCGAATAAGACTATTACGAAAAAGATATGTCCAAAGGGACTAAAGTTATGTTCGGCGAAATGTATAGCTATTTTACATTGTTTTACATTGTTTGTTACTATGAATATGTAAGAGTTATAAACCGAGTAGGAGGTTTATAACTGATATATTGACCCGAGGACACGTAAACCGACTTTCGAGGTTTCTAACTAACTTATATCACACTTGCGGAGGTTTTCCAACATATTTTGTCATTTTCAAAAATTTTTAATGAAAAATTCTCGCGTTTTGTCTACAAGTTTAATCTAATCATTTATTCAAGGTCTATAAGCTAGTTATAAACCTCGGACGAACAAAGAAAACCGACGCAAGTGTGATATAAGATACCATATGGACCTTTACTTGTATTAAAGATTCGCGTCGTATACTCATTTTCGCTAGCTTTAAATTCGCGCGATTTAATTTCGCGCACCTGTTGACACGCATTCGCTCAGCTTTAAATTCGCGCGAGTAATTTTCCGTGTTCGTTATTTTTGGTTTGTTTTACAGCAAAATTCATGAAATAAAGCGTGCGTTCAAAATACCCAAAAGAAATAAAACATTTATTGTATGGTTCTCATTTGCCTAATACATTAACAATAACAATAATCTTTACTAGCATTCCCATATATTATAGGTTCATAAGGCTAAATCATCTCGATAACATGCTATTACATTTTTTTTTAAATTAAATTCGCCCAATTTAATTACAAAAATTTTGATTATTATATTTACATGTTTATTATCTAGGGCTAGGGGCCTACTAGAAACCATCGAAAGGCTTTTGATTAAGACCCCTAGTTACATTTTAAATTACAAAATAAGGATCCTATTTACAAACAAAACTAGGTGACAGTGCTTCAAGTGAGGTGCAATATGATAAAGTATTTACATATAGTGCCACAGTAAATAAAATGTTATGATCACAAAAGTGTATTATTATTAATTTATATAAAAATTTGATATTGCAGATGTTGTTTTGGTAGTAGTTTTTCAGTTATTCAGTATGTAGTATTTTTTCGATTTTTTCTTGAATATATAGTAAGATGCTATATTTTTAAAGTTTGGGTCAAGATTATTCCAGATATCAACTCCCTTGTTAGAGAGTGAATGTTTAACATAGTTTGTTCTTTGATAAGGCTTATGAAGTTTCATAGAATTTCTTGTATTATGTCTATGAACTTCACTATTTGAAATATAGTAGTTCGCAAAAAATTCAGATAAGTTTTTTAAGTGATGATATCTGAACATGAACAAACTGGTAAGATAATCGTTTAGTTTGCATAAGTTCAATATATTTAGGTGCTGAAATATGTTTTCAGTATGATCTAAGTGAGAGCTAAAAGTCATTAAACGTACAATCTTCTTTTGAACATTTATAAGTTTTTGAATTCGTTTTTTATATGTATTTCCCCAGAGTAAGTTGCCATAAATAAGATATGGATAGACCAAAGCATAGTAGATTAGTTTTAATGTATTTAGGTTTGTATAGTGGCGCAGTTTTGCTATTATTCCAGATGACTTCATAACTTTTTTCGTTACCGCTTCTATGTGATCGTTCCAGGTTAAATATTCATCAATAACGACACCTAAGAATGTAGTGCTTCTAACTTGTGAAACCGATTGATTATTTACAGACAAGTGCAATTCCTGTTTCTTTTTATTTGGAGATTTAAACACAATTAACTTTGTTTTTGTTGTATTGATAGACAATTTATTTAAATTTAGCCATTCAGTTTCTTGAAGTATTTTAATGTTGGAATGACTATAAAGTACACTTGTATCATCGGCAAATAGAAGAATTGAAACAGTTTTAGTACAGTTTTGGATATCATTTATGTATAAAATAAAGAGTAGTGGTCCAAGTATCGAACCCTGTGGCACACCTGTGAGTATCGATTTTTCTGTAGATTGCACTGTGTTATATTTAACTATTTGTTTCCTATTTCTTAAATAACTTTCAAACCAACATTTTGCAATGCCTCGGATCCCATAATATTCGAGTTTCCCAATCAGAATCTTGTGATCGATAGTGTCAAAAGCTTTTGACAAATCAAGAAAAACACTAGCTGTGTATTTTCCTTCATCAATAGCCCTTGTTACTTTATCTATAAGTTCAATGATAGCATGTTCTGTTGACCTATTTTTTCTGAATCCATATTGATGCTTGGATAAAATATCATTTTCTTCAACAAAATCAATCAGTCTTTTGTACATTAATTTCTCTAATACCTTAGAAAAACATGTGAGAACAGATATTGGTCTGTAATTTTCAAATTTGTTATTTTCATTAGCTTTGAAAATAGGGGATACTAAAGCTATTTTCATTTGGTCAGGTACAATCCCCATAATAAATGTCTGGTTGTAAATATGAGTTAATGGTTTGGATATATACTTGTAAATATTTTTTAATATTTTGGCACTGTAGCCATCG